AAAGCAAGTGTTATTAGTCTTTTAAATACAAATTACAGTAAACATTGTAATTTGACTAGTGACTAATAAGTAACAATCGTGGTATTTAGCAAACACATTGCTGTGTTCCACATAATCAGAGCAGTGTTTACCACACTGAAATTTTCACAGTAAATGTATTTATTTATTTTATTTTTTGGAGAAGTTTTTGTTATAGGGCGCGTGCGCTCACCAGACAGACAGAAACAGAGAGACAGAAAGCAAGAAATCACTCCCCAGGGGGGGATGGCCACGCCGCAATCCCTTCTCCTCCATTCTCCTCTTGGGATCTTGGGCACGCATGCACACGCACCCAGCGTGAGTTTAAGCCACCGGGTCCGGGACTCGAACCGCAGTCAACTACATGAGAGTCCAATGACATAGCCATTACACCAACTGCTGGTCCCTCACAGTAAATTTATTAATAGGATATTAGCTCCATGTTAATGAAACAGAATCTGAAGTGTTGAAAAATCAAGCAACCTATGCTAGGTCATATGCCAATTAATACAATTAATCAAAATTAATAAAATAGAATTTAATGAATGTAAGTCATTAAAATTTCATCTCCTTATAGATAAAGAGAGTTTCCTAAGGGCCAGCAGACAGTGTAATGGTTATGTAGCTGGACTCCCACATAGTCAACCACAGTTGGAGTTTTAGACCCAGTGGCTTAAAACTCACTGGACATGTGTATGTGCATGCCCAAAATCCCAAGAGAAGAAAGAAGAAGGGATTGCAGCTTGGCCATCCCCCTAGGGGGGTGATTTCTCACTTTCGGGTGCTCTGTCTCTCTGGCAAGCGCACATGCCCTGTAGCAAAAAATATCTTTCTAAAAATAAAAAAAAACTTCCTAGTATATATGCAACTTAGAATTAACCTAGTAAAGCCCTTTTCTATAGAAAACAATACACTTTAGTTATATAAATAAAAGTTTTGTCATACAACCGGGATCTATCCAGCCAAGTTAGGAAACAAAACTCTGTACTTAAAAGTACCTTTATTTTTCACTTTTAAAAAGTTACTAAGTAAGAGGCCAGGTGATGGTGCTATAGTAACCAAATAGACCTCTTGGGAAGGTCCTTATTAGCAGTCCCTAGGTCCTCCGTGTACACATGGGGCACACACACATGCCCTTGATCTGGGGCTGGTGTAAAGACTTGTTGGGGGTGCAGGTCTCCCTTTCTCATGGAAGAAATAAATACACTTTTTTTTTAAGATATGGTATTTTCAATTTGCTATAAGGCAAGTGCGCTCACCAGAGAGAGTGAGAGAGAGAGAGAGAGGGAAAAGTGAGAAAGCAAGCCACCAGGTTTGGGATTCAGACTGCAGTCGGCCAGGTGGGAATCCACTGTGTTAACCACCATGCCACCTGCTGGCCCTAGTACACTTTTTTTTCTAAGTTAACAAGTGCTACATATTTGCTAAAGGAAAAATATAAAATAAATCAGGGGGGAAATAATTCCACTATCTAGAATTAACAACTATCGATATCTATCTACATTTTTGCATATTTCACTATGAATATATGTAGAGCACCTTTTTGGAGAAGAATGGTGTGTGTGTGTGTGTGTGTGTGTAACTTTATAATAGACTTCTTAATTTAAGGGAGGGTGAATAATTACATGTCAAGTATACATCTATGTTTCCATTAATGACTGCATTACTTATAAGCTAATTCTCTTATCTTGTGTATTTAAGTGGGCTCATTTTTTTTTTCTATCATACAAAAAACTCTGATGAACATTACTTTATCTTCATGCATATATACAATTATTTCCTTAAGATAAGTTACTACAAGTAGAACTTACAGGTCAATGATAAATAACTTACTTTTTAAACATTTTGTTAATGAAATAGAGGCGACAGAACATTCAGGGGGCATGCTGATTTTTTTAATACTCTGATGAGTTTAAAATGTATTTTAGCCAGTTATAATTCCAACTGTTTTTCTAATAAATCCAAAGAATTTAAGTAGGTATCTCCCACATTCCAGCCACTTTAAACTATGACAACATACAAGTGAAAAGCTTAGAAATCTAAAATTGATTTGGAAGACAAGACATATCCTAATTTCAAAAATATTTTTATTAGTTCTTTAATCAAATGAGAAATAAAGGTTAAGGAGGAAAAGATGAATTCATATTTGCAAAAACTGATTTCTTCTGATTTAAAAAAAATGTTTTATTCTGATTTAGGAAATACATGTTCATCATGGAAAATCTGGAAAATACATAGAAAAAAAGTGAATTTCCCAGAATTCAACAATATATAAGATAGCCTTACAGTTTTTCTACACATGTGTATTTTTACACAATTTTTGCCATTTACCTCTTCCCCACCCCAGTCACTAAAAGAGTGAGGAAGACAGTTCCTTGAGGATCATACCTATGGCTTCCTCAATACCATTCCATTCTCACTCGGCCTCCTCTGCTGCTGAGCTTTGGCCCATTTCCTTGCTTGCTTCCTAGACTTTGGTGTAAATGTACAACCCACCCCAAAGCATACCAAGGCTCCTCTGCTCCCAGCCTGACAATGCCCAGCAAAATGGGAGAAGTCAGAGTCAACTTTCAGCTGCCTTCTCCACTTCAGAGCCAGGTTTTCCCCAGTAACACTGAAGATTTATCTCAGCTGTTCACTAACATAAACAGTGCCTAATACTCCTAAAATTTATATAGTACTTTCAAGTTTTAGAAGTGTTCCCACACACATATAGTCTTCACAATAGCCCTCTGTATTCTGACAGACAGAACATATATCCCCATTTAACAGGAGAGTAAACTGAGGCACAGAGTTGAGGGAAGAACATAGCTAGCGAGTGGCAGAACATACTTCTAAAGCCAGAAATTGACTTCAAGATCAGAGCTATTTACCTCGTAGCCAACCATTTTCAAGTCTATCAAGGGAAAATTATGAATCAGAAGGATCTTGAATAAATCCTCTAACCTAAACCTCTAGCAGTCACATATAAAGAACACAAAGCCCAGAGAAGCTAGATGATTGCCCAAAGTCACCAGCTAGTTAGTGATGAAGTGGATCTAAAGGAACAATCTTCAGACTCCAAGGCCAGTGATCACTCCAGTCGTCCCTAGAGACATGTTCTTTAATAAGTTGGTCTCTCATCGGTGTCTTCTGCTTAGCCAAATGTCAACCAGGAATTAAAGTCCTGAAAGTGTAGAATGTTGGAGCCGGAAGAACCTTAAAGACCAGGCCAACCCACTCATGAGGCATAAAAGGTCCAAAACCCCAATGTTCTGTTCTCTGATCTTCCACTCATGGTATTACTTCCCTTCTGAATATAGCCAGAAATAAAGTCTGGCCCAAAATGTTTACTTCCTCCTTTGACACTCATTATATGATAGGTCAGGGATCAGCAAAGTGAAAGCGAAACTAAACAGGATTTGACATTCAGAAGATACTTCTTTGGTAACAGATGTACCCACCATGACTTTTATCACAAAATAACCAAGTTCTGCTGGGTTCCAGAGTTTCCCAACTCTGGTCCTTCATCTCTCCCACCAAACCAGAGAGGGCCTACTGAAGTGTGTTTGTGTATAGGAAAGAGCACCCATGTCCACCAGAAGTCATTCATCCCTTTAATCTGTAAAATGTAGCACAGTTAGCCCTGTAGCCTAGGGCTTAAGGAAGCCCAATTCCACATGGCTAATTGCAGTCTGAATCACACCAGTGGCTTGAAAAATACTCCGAGTATGTGTGCATGTGTCACAAATCCGGATAGGATGGAGAAATGGAAAAGAAGGGAATGTGGTGTGACCACACTTCTTTAGAGGGGTACTTTCTATCCACCCCCTCTCTGTCTCTTGCCCATAGTTCCATGACTAGCCTCATCTCTTCAACGGAATAGAAAGCTTACTGAGCTTCCTCTATTAATTGAACACCTACCATGTGCCAGACGATGTGTGTGGCAGGATAGAGATGTCCCTTACCTTTCAGAAACTTGAACGATAAAGCCATGTGAAAAACTAAGCGCGGTCACAGAGGAGTAAACAAGGAGTCAAGGAGCCCCAAAAAGGAGCATCTCTTGGCAGGAGGCCAGTAGCCGCCAGGTAAGATAAAGAGCCGCGTCTTAAAAGGCTAGTAGAATCAGTTGGGTAAAGGAAAGAGCGGGCCAGGGGCAGCCACCACGCGGAAAAAACAAGCTTGGTTACAGGAGATACACAGTTCAACGTTGCAGGAGCATCGAGTGTAAGGCAGGGATAGGTGGGAGTTCAGGCTGGAGCGGTGAGCCTAGCAAGGTGTCCGCAGGCGACAGGCCCGCGTAATTCCCGCTGACCTGGTACCGGGCTTGGGGGTGGCGCTTACGCAATTCGCAAGTAAACGAATTTGGGCGCCTATAGCGAGGCTCTGTCAATGACGGTCGGTGGTGGCGCCGCCAGCCCCCGCCCCCGTGCACCTGTGCGCCTTCGCAGCTGCCAAAGCAAACGCAGGCTACTGCTTGAATCCGCCAGATTTTCAAAGGGGGCCGCAATGCCCCAGGCAAGGCCATATCTGCCGCGGGTCCCCCGCCCCCGGGCCCCCACGTTTATCCGCTGGGGTTAAAACGCCTGTTGACGCACTGTGGCGGCTGCCTGCGCGTTAGCCTGCAGCCGGGCGGGTTTCTCTGCAGTCGGCACCAGGTTTTCCCGAAGAAGAGTCCCTGCGGGCCTCCCCGACCCAGGGATGGGGAGGCAGAGGGTGGCGAAGGCTGCCTTGGCCCGGCTGGCACTAGGCCGGACACGGCCACCGGGAAGGGGCTGGTGCCTTCCAGGGCTTGCGCAAGGGGCAGTGCGGAAATCCGTCCTCCCGGGAAAGCGCAGCGAGAAACAAGACGAGCGCCCTCCTCTTGGCGCCCGCGGCTGGGGGGCGCCAGGGGTGGAGGCTGGGGCTCCCAGCGTAGCCGGGCTCTAGCCTGAGCCCGGGCCGGGGCCGGGCCGGGGCGGGCGCCCAGGGCGGGCGATGGAGCGACGGCCGGGCGTCATTACCTGGCCAGTGTGGTTTTTCCCGAGCCCGGGAGGCCTCGCAGGAGGTAGAGGTGTTTCCTAAAGCTGTGGCGACGCGGAGGTGTCCCCCGCGGGGGCGGCAGGCGAGGCGGGCGGTGCGGGCGTTGTGGCGGTTGGGGCTGCTGCCGTTGGTGCTTGAGGCTCAGCCTCCCAAAGGATTCAAGGAAACTGTCTTCCATGGGGAGGGGGCTGGCTGCGAGATCCCTGGGTTCGCTTTCCTGAAGTCACCGTCTTGGCCAAAGCTGTTGTTTTTGTGACTCTCCGGCCATGTGATAGATGGAGGGGCGGGCGCTTGGAGCCCAGCCCCTCCTTCCCACTCCCCGGAACCGTGCTGCGTGGGAGGGGGCATCCCTACCTGGAAAGCTGGGGACGCTGGGAGACTGACAGCCCAGAAAACGTGGGTCAGGAGGCCCCTCTCCCACTCGTACCCTGCTCTCTGCACATCCTCCAGCGCTGTTCGCCTGAGGGAAGGGAGCCCGTCCGCCTGGTGAGACACTGGGACACTTTTCCTCCCGCCACCTAAGCCAGGCTTCCTGCACAGCCCTTCCCCACTCCACCCACCGACACTTCCCCCGCAACCAGCCTAGACCTTGAAAGTGAAATATTGTAGTTGACAATGCACATGAACAACACTTTGGATAGTAATAGTAAAGGGTATTTTCTCCTCCAATTTTTTTTTTGGGGGGGGGAAGGTTTTTGCTACAGAGATTTTGCGCTCACCAGAGAGACAGAGACAGACAGCCCTTCCCCACTCCACCCACCGACACTTCCCCCGCAACCAGCCTAGACCTTGAAAGTGAAATATTGTAGTTGACAATGCACATGAACAACACTTTGGATAGTAATAGTAAAGGGTATTTTCTCCTCCAATTTTTTTTTTGGGGGGGGGAAGGTTTTTGCTACAGAGATTTTGCGCTCACCAGAGAGACAGAGACAGACAGAGAGAATGTAAGGATTTTGCTACAGGGCAAGTGCGCTCACCAGAGAGACAGAGACAGACAGAGAGAATGTGAGAAATCGCCCCCCTGGGGGATGGCCACGCTGCAATCCCTTCTCCTCCCTCCACTCTCCTCTCGGGATCTTGGGCACGCACGCACACTCGCCCGGCGTGAGTTTAAGTCACCGGGTCTGGGACTCGAACCGCTGGGAGTTCAGTGACATAGCCGTTACCTAACTGCTGGTCCTTTCTCCTCCAATTTTTGAGCAACAACTTCTGGCTGATATCCAAGGACTTATACCACTCTCCCAGGGCCTGTATCTTTTCATTTTTTAATATACTTTTTTTTTAAAATCAGCCTGCCAAAAATATTTTTAGAAAGCTTTGTGGTCTCTACATAACTTTAAATCTCTTCCTCCTCTGTAACAGCACCACTTAAAACTCAGGCCGATTTATGCAGGGTAGCATAAGGGCTGCCACCAAGGTGCCTGCTGTGTGGCCGCCTGAAAAGATGTGCTTCTCTGGCAACTATTTCAGATCCCCAGAGGTAGAGTCTACTGAAACCATTTATATGGAAGAAATCAGAATTAAGTTCTAAAATCCAAGAACTGGTGAGCACACGTTAGTTGATCACCATAGTAACTCTACAATATTTTACATTCAAAAACATGAGAAAGTTAGCCTGTTTTTTGAACCAAAATTCAGCATGTGTGGACTGAAAAGACAATATTCTAAATTGACACCATCCTGAAAAATCCAGGGTATATGGTGGCTTTGGTGATAATAATTATAATAAATTAATTTTGTTTCTGGCAGCTAAGGTATGAAAATTATGAAAAGGAATTTTTATGGGGGAAAAAAGGAATTTCCTTCTAAAACAAAAATCTAGAGGTTTCACAATAAACTTTGAGAAGGGGCTATCCAAGTAGGGAGGGCTCTGTGCTGAGAATTCCAACTTCCTCTTGGATTCCCCTCTGGGGAATAAATTGGGGGATTGTCTGCTCTCCCTAGAAAATCCCTTCCCAGCATGGAAGAATTATATAATACTTTCTTGATTATTCTTAGCACTATGAAAAATGGAATTTCAAATGCCTCTCAAAATATTAGGGGAAAACCATAAGGAACAGAAAATACACATGAGTCCCAGAAACAGTGAAACTTAACATCTACATCCTATCATACTTAAGATCAGAGTGTTTTTGCCCAGCTTCAGATGCTGCCTTTTTATTCTAGATCTGTACTGTTCAGTATGGGAGCCAGTAGGCATATGTGGCTATTGAGCATTTGAAATGTGGCTAATACAAATTGAGATTAGAATACACACTGAATTTCAAAAGTTCAGTATGAAAGAAACATATCCCATTAATCATTTTTTGTACTGATTATATGTTGAATTGATAATATGTTGGTATACTGGGTTAATACATTATTAAAATTAATTTCACCTGTTTATTTTTACTTTTTTTTTTCTTATGAGAGAGAGAGGTATTTCTGAGAAGGCCTCACCACTGTGATCCGCTGCCTTAGCCTCCCAGTTAGCCCAGACTACTAGCACATGCCACCATGCCATGCTATTTAAATTGGTCCTGGATTCTAACCTGGACTTCACATGTAGTCCCAACCTCCCTACCATGTATATCACCAGGGCCTGACCTCTTTTTTACATTTTTGTTGAGGCTACTAGAAATTTAAGTTATACGTGTGGCCGGCATTATATTTCAATTGTACAGTGCTACATGTGACTTCCCTCCACTTCTATTGCCTTCTATAGATGTGGTCCCAGACAGCATGAATTAGGGCAAGAGGAAGACATGCAGTTTTGTGGCTAGAAGTACTGACACAGAGTCTGCAGTGCCTGTGGCAGGAGGAGCTAATAGATGTTGAGAAATATAACCCTATTGCTCAGAAGACAGGGCTGATCTAGGAACAGAACTTCGGATATCATTGAACCTATGGGAAGGAAACAGAACAGAACAGAGCAGACAGCTAAGAAGGGAGCCCTGAGGACACCAGTTTTTAAGAACTCTTAACGAGATGTTAAAAATAAGAAGGTACGAGTGAAGAGCTGGCAGAAACTGGGAATTTATTCCTCAAATCTACAGTTTCAAATAAATCAAGATTTGTCCTGTATGTGGACACACACACACACACTCTCGCTCGCTCTCTATCATGAAAATGACAAATAAATAAAATTATAACATCTTCAAAATCAGATGAAATGTACAAATTGTTACCTCCTCTGAAGAGTATTTTATTATTCAGATAACTTATCAAGAATAATTGGACAGATTATCCAAACCAGTTTTGGTATCCAGTGGGTATTATCCTGGTGAAAGAATCCTCTGAGTCAGCACTGACTTTACTTGGTGAGCAAGATCTTCAGCAGCACCATGAAGACTGGAGAACTCAACTACAAACAAACACAGCCCAGACAAGTTCAGACAAAATGGTGACAGGAGCGGAATTTGTTTTTAAGTCCCAGCCTTTGCTTTCCCTGTTATGTCACTCGCCTGGCATCTAGGACTTCACCTCATAGCCACAGTTCACAGGCTGCCTGGTCCTGGCCTATTTCAAGATCTCATTCCCCTGACACTTCCCAGTCTCCTTCCCCTATGCCTAAACTTGTTCTATGGCACAGTCTCTGAGGACCCAAGTGTTTAGATTATAAAAATTAATAATAAATACACTAATTCATGCAAATGTGTTAATAAGTTTACTGGGTCATGTATTCTTCTTCAAGATAACACAATTTCTACTTTGCTAAGGAGCATTTCAAAGACAATGCTCTAACTAGGAGTTATTTAGGGGAAGGGAATTAAGCATCATTAATAGCCTATTATTTTACTTATGCTAAGTATTTTATATAAGTTATTTCATGTAATCCTTATTTAATATTCTCTTGACAGGTTGGTATTATAAACCTTTTTAAAAAAAAAAAAAAAGAGTTACCTATTTATTTACTTCCATTTGTTATTATTATTTCTTCAGTTTGACCAGACAGAGACAGTGAGAAAGAGAGAAAGGGAAAGCAAGAAAGCAAGCCGCCAGGTCCAGGACCTAGACCACAGTTGGCTATGTGGGAATCCAGCGACTCTATCCACCACCTACTGGCCCCATAAACCTGTTTTTTACAGATGAAGCAACTGAGGTTCTAAGAAGGGAATACATTTAAGGTTATTCTAGCACATCGCTCCACCTCCACAAGAATGCCACAACATCAGATACCTTGGTAACCAGGAGGGAGAGAATTTTGAAATAAGCAAGGCCTTATGTTTCCTAGAACTACCTAGATTCTCCTGTGATTTCTCTTTTTCTAAATTTCTACTCTTTGAGAACCACTATTCAGTACATTATGCCAAACACAAAATGGGAAGGCCCTTTCTTGTAATTGTAAAAATTCTGCACATAGCTATAACACTCATAAAAATTCCCCAACAAGAAAAGATTAATAATTATGGGGCAACTGCTTGGTAAGGAAAAAAAATAGGTTTATGGAGAACAATTTAGCACACACATGGAAGATCAACATAAAAATAAATATATCTAGAAAGTGTCCTTGACACAAAATTTAGACAGTAGAAAAGACTCCTGAATTGGGCATAACTGATGTATCATACTTGATGCATGCTGCCTGTACTGGTATCTTATCACGCTGGGGCCACCTCATGGGGTAAAGGAGAACACTCCCTTCCTAACCTCAGTTGTAACATCAACTTCTGACAGAATGAATGTTTTAGCTGCCATATCCTCAGTGTGTAGAACAAGGTCTAGTATGATGCAACTCAATAAATATTTGGTGAGTAAATGGAATGAATGTCTTCACGTTCTCCCTCTAGTATTCCTTACAGCCTCTTATCTTTTCCCGTATCATATTTATCCTACATTTCCTAGTGGTCCCTCCAGATCACTATACTCTTCTCCCAAATCTTCAGTTCTTCTTTTCCAGCAGAAACAGTTTTAAAACAAACACAAATATTTTTGCTGGGTATACACATATTTCTAGCTGAGAAATGGAAACACAGAATACTCTTATAAATAAGAGTTAAAATAAAGAGAGAAAACATATGGTAAATGCACTGTGCATTTCATTCTTATCAAATGCAGACACATACACTGAAATTACAGCAGATGTGTTTATTTCATAATTTAAGCATTTGGGGAAAAAAGTGCAATATGTTTATTTCAGTGTCAACTTGATGTCAAGTTTAAAATACAACATGGATTTGTCTGTATTTGTCTAACACATGCAAATGTGTTAATAAGTTCACTGGTCATGTATTCTTCTCCAAGATAACACAATTTGTACTTTGCTAGGGAACATTTCAAAGACAATGCTCTAACCTAGGAAGAATTTAGAGGAAGGGAATTAAGCCTCATTAATAAGCCTATTATTTTACTTACGCTAAGTATTTTATATAAGTTATTTCATGTAATCCTTATTTAATATTCTTTTGACAGGTTGGTATTATAAACCTTTTTTTAAAAAATTCCTAGAGAATATGTTAATATTTTAAAATAACCTACACCCCTAATTGCCAGACCTCATCACTTACTAATCCAACAAGGGAAATCGCTCATAAACTTGTGAGTTAACAGGATACTCAAAGATATGTCTTAACCAATGAAGTGGGAAAATAAATTTGGGAGCAACAATCTAAGGATTTTGTATTTCACAAAAATATTTACCTTTAAAGAAAGTAAGTGTATTACATATGTAATATATTGCACATAGGGTTGCTGTGGTAACTAACTACACTTTTTTATATTTTACTCTTCAATTGTGGTACACATGAGCTATTACAACCAAATATTATCATCATGCACTTCCATCTGATCATATAGAAATCTCTGGGATAAGCTGTACTTACAGTTCAAGAAAGTCTCATTTTTTAAGCAATCTTCTTCTGTTTTTGCTAGAAATTATAAAGAAAATACGTAAAGTAATGATTAATATTTGTCACTGGGGTTAAGTATGCGCTGTCATACTCACGTAGAGACACTTCTAAAATGACAAAAGAAACATAACTTTAAATGGCAATCTAAACATTTAAAGTAGTGTTCTGTGTGTATAGTTTAAGTAGCAATAAGGTCTCCATTGGGAATGAGGAGAAATAAGTTCACAAAAATGTTTTTGGTTTTAATAAATGGAGGCACACAATGAATCTATTTTTCCCACAGTTATCGTCATAAGAAATATTTACAGGGCCAGCAGGTAGCATAGTGGTTAAGGCATTGGACTCCCACATGGCCAACGGTAGTTCAAGCCTCAGTCCCAGGGACTTGAAAATTCATGCTGGGTCCAAGTGTATGTGTACCCAAAGTCCCAAAATGAGAATGGAGGAGAGGGGACTGCAATATGGCCATTCCCTTGGTGGGAAGGGTGATTTCTCACTTTGTCTCTCCAGGAGTGTATGTACCCCATAGCAAAAAATCTCCCTCAAAAAAAAAAAAAAGGAGAGAGAGAAATACCTACTATCCTAAACTAGTTTATAATGTTTTGACAAACTTTGATTTTATTATTTATTTCAAAATGTATCCTTACTCTTGCTTTTGAGAACTTATTTTTTAATTGCCAAAGGCATGTGCACTTTCCAGAGAGAGACAGACAGAGGAAGAGAGGGAGGAGAAAAGGGGAATGGGGAATGGTCTCACCACAGTCCATTCTCTTGCATTTCTCTACAGTCAGCAAAGTGGGATCCAACTCCCTTAACCACAAGGCCACTTGGCTGACAGCTTTGGGAAACATTTAAACACTATCAACTAACAAAAAGAATCCCAGCCACCCCATTTGTTAGATAAAGTATAGGCTTTTTTTTTCAGAGTATCATCTGTCATCTTTTTGAACAGCCCTTAGAATTGTCTTATCTTTCACTCTAGACTAACAAACACATTACTCGAATAATGAGGTGCTTCAAATAAAGTAAATATGAATCTGATTTGTAGTTTCTTCTCTTTCTAATAGGATAAGATTGTAGGCAGGACAGGAAAAAAATTTAATAAACGATAATAGACTCTTCTTCAGTCAGCCTCAATATACTAGCATATACAACAATAGAGTTAATAAATGTAACTTCCTCTTTGGGACTTATTGAAAGGAAAAGAAGGCATGTGTTACCAACCCAAACACATCTATTCTTTTTTTCTAATTTAAGGAATGTAGTATTTCCCCATTGTTTAATGATTTTCTCCAATTTTATTTTAAAAGAAATCAGTTACAGAGGCTTTCTTTGCAAGACATTAAAGTATACCTCCATCGATGTCTTCCACTGCAAATAAATCATCTTCAGTGTCTTCCAGTCAAGGGGAACAACATAGTCATTAGGTAACAATGATTCTGTGAAAGAAGGGGAAATAAATTTCATCTCTACCATCACACAGATTTTTACGCTAAGTGAAAAGATATGCAAACATGAGCTCTACACCACTATAATGTTTAAAGTCTGGTTTTGAAGATATTTCAGTGATGATTAAAGCAGGAATTAGTCTGAGCTTTCTGTCAGTAAATACTATCCAGAATGAAAAGTCTCATTATGTATATACGTAAAATGATATGTATCATAGATCGTATCCTTTTTTTTTTTTGGAAGAGATTTTCACCATAGGGTACGTGTGCTCACCAGACAGACAGACAGAGACAGAGAGACAGAAAGCGAGAAATCCCCCCCCAGGGGGGATGGTCATGCCGCAATCCCTTCTCCTCCATTCGCCTCTCGGGATCTTGGGCATGTACGCACATGCGCCCGGCGTGAGTTTTAAGCCACCGGGTCCGGGACGCGAACCACGGTTGACTACGTGGGAGTCCAGCGACATAGCCATTACGTTAACTGCTGGTTCCCATAGATCATATTCTTACATAAGTATAAATACATATAAACACACATACACATATACATTAGAATAGCTTTGAATGGTACTGTCACAAGGCATGGCATAAAATTTGGGTAGTCATCCCTTCTTATGACATGTTTAAAACATTATACTATAGCAAGTTTAGTCTTGCAAATTGCTACTTCCACATACGTGCATTTTAGGCAATAGTCCTCATAAATTCTCAATAAAGATGTTCATAGCAAGTCAAACACTAATATAAACCATACCATATAAACCATATGAACCACACCAAGCCACAAAAGATACTTTCCTACACTCATGTTTGATTTTTTTTTTTTCAAGATTTTGCTATAGGGCACTGTGCTCATTAGAAAGACACAGAGAGAGAGGGAAAGTGAGAAACCACCCCCCCCAGGGGGGGAATAGCCATGCCATAATCCCTTCTCTTTCATTCTCCTCTTGGGACTTTGGCCACGCATGCACATGGGCCTGGTGTGTTTTTCAAGCCTCCTGAGTTGGCCAGAGCTGAAACCACCATGCCACCTGCTGGCCTACATTTTATTTCTTAAGGTCTATATATTATGGTCCTATTACATAATCCCAGTGTGTCTTCAGAATTCCTAACACTAGAATTCATTGAATACTAATATTAGAATTCAATTCCTAATAGTAGTTCTCTGCCCTATTTGAGAGGCCACTGACCATAACCAGAGCCTGGTTTATCTAAATTAGCTATACAAATTGGATTATAGTCTCCACTTATGATTTCCCCCTTTCCCTTTTTAAGAGCATGCCATTTTATAAATGTGAAATTATTTCCCTCTGCTTTTCTTTTAAGCCACATTTTTCTTCATTATATAAACACTATTTAGAATTCACTTCTACAGTGAAAACATCCTAGACAAAACTATAACCCCCTATTACCTTTAACGATCCTTTAAGTACTACTAACCTCACTCATAAAATATTCATAAACTTGTCATTTGTTTTCTATGTGCAGTAATTTTGTTTTGTGTTAGTTTTATCTAAGCTGTTTGATGAATGAGGTCTATTTCCTTTAAAAAGCTTTCTGAAGTTTAATTAACAAATACTTGATCATTGATGATATTGCACATTCAAGGGAAGAAGAGGTTTAGAATCTTTCACATCAATGTCTTTGTGCTTTCTGGTACTGATCTAAGGGAGTGACTGCTATTCTTATTCAGAAAATCCTATTGTACATTCTTTTTGGGTCATGAGACACATCTGCGATGCTGATAAAATCTATGAACTTTCTCTCAAAAGATAGTACAAAATGACATGAAATAATTCACATTCAATTTGAGAACATGGACTGAGATCCCTCATTTAAAATTCCCTGAAGTGATGCATTTTAACTTTTAAAAATTAGTATGCTTTCATATGGTCCTTCTTTAGTGTGCCATTCCATAGCACAAAATTTAAAAAGTAAAACATACACACATACACACACATATGCACACATGTATGTGTGTGTGTGTGTGTGTGTCTGTAATTAAACTGATTTTTTAAAAATTTTTAATTTTCCAGTGGATGCATGCACCTGCTGGAAAGGAAGTAAAAAATAATTCCCTATGGGGAATGGTTATGCTGCAGTCCTTTTTCTCCATTTTTCCCTTCTTTTGGGAATTTGGGCACATGTGCACATGCACATGGTGTATTTCTCAAGCAGCTGATCCGAGATTGGAACCATGCTGTTGGCCACTTGGGATCCAGCCACCTTAACTACCATGCCATGGGCTGAGCCATAAATTGATTTTCTTTTTTTGGAGAGGTTTTTGCTATAAGGTGCGTGCGCTTGCCAGGAAGACAGAGAGACAGAGAGACAGAAAGTGAGAAATCACCCCCCAGGGGGTATGGTCACGGCACAAACCCTTCTCCTCCATTTTCCTCTCAGGATCTTGGGCTCACATGCACACGCACCTGGCGTAAGTTTAAGTCACCGAGTCTGGGACTCTATCTGCAGTCGACTACATGGGAATCCAGCAATATAGCCATTATGCTAGCTGCTGGTCCTGGCTATAAAATTGATTTTTAGTGTTCAAAAAAAAAAGTAGTTTGGGGGGAACCAGCAGTTAGCGTAATGGCTATGTTGCTGGACTCCCATGTAATCGACCATGGTTCGCATCCCGGACCCGGTGGCTTAAAACTCACACCAGGCGTGTGTACGTGCATGCCCAAGATCCCTAGAGGAGAATGGAGGAGAAGGGATTGCGGCGTGACCATCCCCCCTGGGGGGTGATTTCTCGCTTTCTGTCTCTCTGTCTCTCTCTGTCTGTCTGGAGAGCGCACGCGCCCTATAGCGAAAATCTCTCAAAAAAAAAAAAAAAAGTAGTTTGGGGTATAAATTTCCCAGGGCCACTTTGTCTTATTTCTGACAATTAAACAAAAGTCTTCTGTAGTACATATATTAATGTAAGAAATTAAAAGAGAAAATTTAAAAATTACTATGCTTTTTTTGCATCTAGGAGGACAGAAAAATTATAAGAAATAGTTAAGGTATGATTATTCACAAAATTTGCATATAAAGTAAACATAATGCCAGAACCCGAAGAGCAGATTGGTAATTATGATTCCCTGGCCTTGGGACGTAACCAGTCTTAGGTGCAAGCTGCTGAAATATCAGATGTTGAGGGACAAAGGGAAAAAACTTGAGGGGACAAGCTTTGAGACAGACCAAAACCTGGGAACCTAGGCTTACGTGTTGAAAAATAACAGGAAGGTACAGCAGAACTGCAGGTATTAGAGCTTCTGTCTTCAAGGAAGAGTACAAGGAAGAATGAGCCATTGAATTACAGATAAGGAAATGTTGAGATATGTGCTCCATTTCTTCAAAACATTTAGCATCTTAAATATTATTATGCTTAATTTTTAGAGCCTCACTAGGTTATCCAGGCCAGTCTTGAGCTTGTTATCGTCTTGCCTTAGCCTTCCCTCCCCACTCAACACACTCCCAGTTGCTGAGACCACAGGCACAAGCCTCGGAACCTCCACATCCTACCTTTAGGTTGAACCAGGAATCAAACCAGTGCCTCACCATGTGGCCTCAGCCTTCACAAACACAGTGGCTCAACAACAGGCATCACAACTGGGTCATATAAATATGATTATTGAAAAAATTTACTTAGAATTTTACTTACAATACTAAAATATCATATTTTTTATTGTTTATTCCAAAGTAGATTTTTCATTTTCAAAAATAACAATCTTAAGAGCCTGAAGGAACCTTTTAAATCAACTAGGTGGGTGCCTTCCTAATCTCTTCAGTACCTTCTCAGACGGCCTCTAAAAAATTCAACTACTTCAGATCTTTTTATCATTAAATCTTTGCTGTCCTCATCTCATTAATCTCATATATGGGGGCCATAACTGTGAATTAGAAAGAAAAGGACCATGTGCCAAGCAAGGGAAAGATAGAGAGTAGAAAATCTTAAAAAAAAAAAAAAATGCCTAACTCTACTTGATACATAATCTTTGTTTCTCATCTTTTATTATTTCCAGAGTCTACTTAGAGAGTTCAACTATTCTACGTAGTCAAGGACTACTGTGACAAGGGGCAGGGTCTTTGAAGATCAAACACCATTTGCAATATATCCTTACTTTCACTGCTGAAAGATCAATAAACTGCATGAAATCACTAACACCAGATAAAAATTACTTGTATGTTAAATTGGAACTTAGATTTTTTAGCAATGAAAACGATTTACCTATTGGAACTCCAGGAGATCCAAAAAGCTCAACTAGTTGAAAGGCAAACTCTTGTGATAATGGTAGCCCAAGGGAATTACACTTAGTGCTTGTTAAATTTCTGCTACTGTCAAATGGTAAGCAATGTAATGACTTAAGTTTTTCTAATCTCTTCAGCTTTTCATGAAGTCTTTCATTTAAAAAATAAAAAATGGCTCTCAAAGAGCACAAAATATCAGGTTGACTACTTAAAATTTCTGAAGAAATAAACTGTACATCATTTAGGTTTTTATCTACACTTGTCTGTGATTTGAAAGTCAAAAATGGTTTCTTGTTTCTAAGAGATGCCTTCCAAAATCTAGTTATATAACGTAGTGTGAGGGAAAGAATAGGGTTTTTGTAAAAATATGCAAAATGCCTTAGTCTGTTAAATGACAGGCAATTAGAATAAAATCTACCAGTACTTCGACGGGGATCATTGATAATAACAAGGTAAAACCATGATGAATGATAATATAAGGTCATAAGGTTTTGCTTATTCTCGTCATTATTTATTTCTGAAATTCTATCTTTTTCTTGCAAAATAATTTTTAGTTCATGTTTTTGTGTTGATAGACTGTGTTTCTCCCTCTCATTTGCATTAATAAGACTCTGCCCCAGTAAGTTAAAGTAAGGTGCCAAGTTGAAAATTCTATTCTGCATTCTTTTCTCATTCTTTGTTGCTTCTGCACTCTTTGGGATATCCAATTGAGGTAAGTAGCTTCTGAAGATATTTTTTTCAATTACTATGAATGAATCTATAGTTTCAGAGGGAGGTAACAAATCTTCTGCTATCAGGAGCTTCTCCCTTGTCAATATTTCTGGACTGCTTCCTGGTTCTGATGGTCCTTCAGAAGTGGAGATTAATTGGATCAATTGTTCCTTGCTGTCAAGACAGGCATGTTTACGTGATCTGTCTTTCTTTGGTTTCTGTTCATATATAAACTTATGAGGGCCCTCAGGCCACTTATCAAAATAGGGTTGTCTAGCAGAGCCCAGTTGTAGTTCTTCCTTAGATAAATTGGTTGTGAAAACAGCCCAATAACTGCTTTTAGTTGTATATGCTCTTTGTTCCTCTCTTAAAACATTTTCTGAAGTTCTAGATCCATGTGGATGGCAAAGAATTGGTTCATTTGGGAGACTTTTATCTATTACCTCTCTCATTGGCATAAATGGACATGGGATAAATAGGTCCTGGATGTCTGAAGCCATGGTATGCTTATCTTTAATATGCTTTTCTACCTTCATGCAGTCATCATTTGTTACACAGAAAAGATTTGGGGTTACTGTTTGATATGTAACGGAGCTTTCATTTGGCTTTGATGACAAAGCTAGAAACAAGTTATCATCTTCCTTAGAGAAGTCATTCTTTGATGTGTTGTCCAACTCAACTATAGATATATTATTTGAAAAACTGTCTTCAGGATCTGTGTTTGTCCATCTTTTTTCTTTGCAGTCATTTAAAAAATCTCCTACTTCACTTTTTAGACCACTAGTGAGGGGACACCCTGATTCCCTTTTGGTCTCTTCAACGTCTTCCTCTTCACTCTGCGTTGGGTCTTGATCTTGTATAATATAACTTGAAGTTCCAAATGAATTTTCCTCCATGATTTTACTATGACTGTTGTGCTTTTTGTTTCTTTTTCTATTTCTCTTCTGTTTGGTTTTGCTGAGCCTGTGTCCAGTCTTCTTCAAAACTCTTTCTCTGAAATATGAAAAAAATTAAGAAAACTTACAACTTAATTATTTATATAAAAATAATAATTTGTGACATCACACTGTTAACATGCAGATTTAAAAATAACCAGTAAGAGAGATTCTAAAGTGTACAAATATATTGTACTATATTTTAAAACCACTTTTAGAAAGATATTTTATCTTATAAATTAAAAACCAGTACACTTTGAGAAAGTTAAACTTCATATGACATATTCATTTCATAAACCAATAACTTTATGAAAACTTAGTATTTTCCTTAAAATATTTCACATATTCAAAATCTACTAATAAATATCTTTAATTTCCTAACATCTTAGATCTTCAAAATAAAAAGTGGCTAGTATAGTTTTAGGGTGGCACTTTAGTACCTTTAATAGTAAGTTTTATCTAAACATAAAGATTTTGTGACATATTCATTTCATAAACCAATAACTTTATGAAAACTTAGTATTTTCCTTAAAATATTTCACATATTCAAAATCTACTAATAAATATCTTTAATTTCCTAACATCTTAGATCTTCAAAATAAAAAGTGGCTAGTATAGTTTTAGGGTGGCACTTTAGTACCTTTAATAGTAAGTTTTATCTAAACATAAAGATTTTGACAATTAAGTTGCTCTATCAAATTATGAGCACTGTTTGATAATGAACAGACAAGTCCAGCACGAGGGCGATTCTAATTGCCTTGCTAACAATTAGGACTGCTACTACTATTTCATAAGGTGTTTAGAAATGTATAAAGGCATTTTGTTTTAATATGTTATTGCCCTATGGGTTATCGTAATGGCTATGTCGCTGGACTCCCACGTAGTCGACCACAGTTCACGTCCCGGACCTGGTGGCTTAAAACTCACACCAGGCGCGTGTGAGTGCGTGCCCAAGATCCCGAGAGGAGAATGGAGGAGAAGGGATTGCGGCGTGACCATCGCCCCTGGGGGGTGATTTCTCGCTTCCTGTCTCTATGTCTCTCTCTGTCTGTCTGGCGAGCGCACGCGCCCTATAGCGAAAACCTCTCAAAAAAAAAAAAATGTTATTGCACTTTTCTACTGAGGCCAGGGAAATTACGTTAACCATGCTGCAGTGCCCAAGGGAAAATGATCTCATCCAAAAGAGCAATAGCATTCTCATCAAGCCCACTAAAATTCATAACTCCCCTTAATCTTTTTTTAAAGGAGGTTCATTTTCATTTTATTTTTAAAAATATTTATTTACTATTTATTTGTTGTGACTTTCAAGCCACTGGGTCTGGGACTTGAACCATGATCAGCCATGTAGGAATCTAGCACCTTAACCACCATGCCACCTGCTGGCTCCCCTTAATGTTACTTGAAGACAATATGAGCTTGTTCTATGGCATGGTGGTTAAGGCAGTTGGATCTCTCATGGCCCACTGCACAGTTCAAGTCCTGGACCTGGCAGTTTGAGAAACACACCAGGTGTATGTACATACAGGCCCAAAGTCTTGAAAGGAAGGAAAGATGGAAAAGGGACTGTGGCTTTACCATTGCCAATGGGTGGAGAGGGGTACTTTCTCCTCTCCCTTTCTGTCTCTCTTTCTCTCTGTCTCTTTTTTCTGGTAAGCACATATGCTCTCTATCGACAAAGAAAGAAAGAAAAAAAAAAAAAAACAAAGGAAGGAAGAAAGAAAGAAGACAATATTTGTTCCTGAGAGAGAAAGGAGGGGTCTAGGAAATTTTCTAATAAAAATATAAAGTTCTTCTTCACTAGATAATCAGATTCAGAAACAAGTCTGATGGAGACAGTAAAATACAGTGGAAGAAGGACAACAGATGTAGGTGAAGGAGGAAAAATCCAGGATAGAGTAATAGAAAAACAAACCAAACAAAAATCAAGAAGAAAGAGCTTATAAGGGTACAAAAGTCAGTCAAATGACTGGGCATTGGATAAATTAGTTTATTAAACCCACCCCTGGCCTCTGGCTTAGTTTATTACATTTAATGTTGCTTGGCAATTATCTACAAGTAGGACACATAAACATGTTCTTTGTCACCTAAATTCTTCTGCCCCTGTTTACACATTCCCAGATGTCAGCTTAAAAAAACATTAAACAGGGCCATCAGGTGCTGTGGTGGTTAACTCATTGGATTTCCACATGTCTGAGAGACTTGAAAAATCATTCCAGGCCTGTGTGCATGCACGCCCAAAATCCTAAGAGGAGAAAAGACAAGAAGTGTTGAAAGAGATAGCCATACCTTCTGGGAGGTGATTTCTCACTTTCCCCCTCTCTCTTTCTCTCTCTGGCGAGCACATGCACCCTATGGAAAAAAAAAAAACTAAAATAAAAAGAAAAGAAAAAAAGAACATTAACTGCTAATGCAGTAGAAGCCCTTGTGATAGGGCCTGTCTAAACAGGCTATCAAGAATGCAATCTGGGGAACCAGCAGTTAGCGTAATGGCTATGTCGCTGGACTCCCACGTAGTTGTCTGCAGTTTGCATCCCAGACTCGGTGGCTTAAAACTCACGCCGGGTGCGTGTGCGTGCGTGCCCAAGATCCCGAGAGGGGAATGGAGGAGAAGGGATTGCGGCGTGACCATCCCCCCCTAGGGGGTGATTTCTTCCTTTCTGACTCTATGTCTCTCTCTGTCTGTCTGGCGAGTGCATGCGCCCTATAGCAAAAAAAAAAAAAAAAGAACG